CCCTTACATGAGGAGGGTTAGCTAAGTGTGAGACCTGCTGTAGCCATCGGCTTTAACCTTTGACCTGTTGTCCATTCAGAGGCTCTTCTGTGGTTCACTTGCTTTCCCATCAGTTCAAAGGAAATACAGACTTACGATTGGCTGTGAAATATGTGTGTTAATTATGTTGTGTTAATATTTGCAGTTGAGAGTGAATGCTTTATATGCTGCACTTTCTGAATCAGGGTAACTCGCTTCTTGGAAAAGCCACAGGAAGGGCAGACGGCGTCCCAGCTCGCCAGCGTGGTGTTCTACTGCATCCAGAGGGACACGCTGTCCTACACGTCGGACTTCCTGAGCCAGCAGCCTCAGACCGTGGGCAGGACTTTTGGACAGTTCTGGGTTCGTAAAGCTAAAGCAGCTCACGTGCTTCTGTCCATGCAGCCATGTGCAGGAACAGTTTTGAACTCAACTGCCTTTTATTCTTGTTGCATTGTTGATCTAAACCCATCAAATCCATCCAACTTCATAACAAACTAAAAACAGTGAAACTTACTTTAATGGCTGTTTCTCCTCAGGAGTGGCTCATCAATGAGAAGCAGTGCCACGTGTTCGGTATGAAGGTTCCTACTGGCTTCCAGCTGATCGGACAAGTGGTTTGTATTCTTACCTCAGCTCGACTCTTCCCTCTGCATCTGTGCAAACAGCTGGTACTGTTCCCCTGGCAACCGTCAAACCCAGGCTGGTCTATTGATGTTTAGTAGTGAGGAAATTTCACACCTGGATTTGTTACACAGGTGATATCCTATCATGGTCCCACACTGGACTTCAGTGAGCTCCTATGACCCATTCTTTCACAAACGTACAGACCCTTTCCAAAAAATTAGACTATCATGGAAAAGTTTATTTATTTCCATAATTCCATTCAAAACATTAAACTTTCATAGATTATAGATTCAGGGCCCACAACCTAAACGATTTCAAGTACTTAGTTGTTTATTTGTACATAATTTGGGCTTCCAGCTCATGAAATCCATGAAAACATGATTTCAAAAAATTAGAAACTATAAAGACATCAGCCCAAATTTTACAGGGCATGAATGTTTTAAACTGAGTTTCACACATAACTCATCTACTAACTCAAAGTGTGGGGGGCGCAGAAGCCATTGCAGGGGGGGCGCGGCATGAAAAGGGAAAAAACAAAACGCTTGGACACTGCGAGCACGAGCGCCTACACAAACGCAAAGCAGGAGATGAAGCATCGCTGAATATGTTTCCAAACCAACTTCATTCTAAGACAAAGACGAGAAAATATGGTGAAGCATGTCTGCCCTTTGGCTTCACCTGCACAGGTGCAGAGGTAGGTCTCCCTGCAGGATTGGTTTCCCTGCGTTGGGAGCAGCGCTGGGCTGTTCAAATCACGGACAAACAGGATCCCACATTCTTGATTTTTAGTTCACAAACACTTGTTGTAATGACGAACTACTCCTGACATGTTGGAGATGTTTGCTCTTTATACAGTAAAGTTACAGCAGGATACAAATAACATCAGGCTGATCCTGCCACAATTTGTTCCCTTAGTTCAAATCACAGACAAACAGGATCCAACAGCTGTTTATGTTTTTGAACCCATTTTGCACAGAGAGGCATTTTTTGAAAAATGTATTGATAGCAATGTTGAATATTATTACACAGGAAAAAAACAACTACATGTAAAATAATCACAGCGTGACGCCTCTGCCTTTGTAAATAGAGGGACAGTAACTGCGTGTAAAACCTGCAGACAGTCAGATTAACAGTATTTTGTCTCCATCATTCTGCAATTCATCTCATGTAAACAATAACGTGGCGCGACGTGAAAAAGGCACATACCTTTGACGTTGTGTGATGAACTCTGTATTCCTCGTCCACACAGAAACGCAAAAAAGGAGTTTTTAATTCGAAACGCCGTTTACGTGGACGAAACAGCTGCGTGTTCAAAAATACCCGTGTAGGTGTGGACGCAGCGTAAAAGAGTTAGTAGTTTATTTTATTACCTGTAATTTATTGCAGTTTACTTGTATTTGCTTAATTGTTTACTAAATGTTTGAGGTGTGAAATAAACCACAATGGAGCAAAGTATGGGCGTGTGTGGTTGGAGGATGTGTTTGCGAGGGGGGGGGCAATATTTTTCTTGTAAAACAAAGGGGGGCCCAGCAAAAACAGTTTGGGAACCACTGTACGAACTCAAAGCACCTGCACAGGTTTTTCCAGGTGTCATTTGCTTCATTTTGACCCAATTGTCTCAGTTAGGTTCAATATGGGGAAGACTGCAGACTTGACAACTGGCCAGAATCAATGGTACCCGCCATAGGATGGGTAAGCCACAAAGGTTTATAGCTAAGGGGGCTGGCTGTTTAGTGCTGTGTCAGAGCATATCAATGGAAAGTCTAGTGGAAGGGCAAAATGTGGCAGGAGGAGATGCACCAGCAGATGACCGTGGCTTTCAGCGGATTATCAGAAGATTTAAGACTCTGGTAGAGATCCAGAAAGAGTGGAATGAGGCAGGAATCAAAGCTTCAAAACCACTTCTGAGCCTGAGCCAACGTCGGTAGCAACTCAACTGGGCCAAGGAGCAGATGGACTGGACTGTTGGCCAGCGGTCAAAGGTCCTCTTCTCTGATGAAAGTAAAGTGTGCCTTTATTCAGGAATCAAGGTCCAAGTGTTCAGAGGAAGACGGGTGAGGAACAGAACCCAAGTTGTTTGAGGTTCAGTGTCAAATAACCAGTCAGTCATGATTTGGGGTGCAATGTCCGGTGCAGGTGTTGGTAAACTCTGCCTTCTTAAATCCAAGGTTAAGTCTACCAGAGTGTTTTAGATGACTTTATGACTCCTTCTGCTGAGGATCTGTATGGAGATGCAGATTTCATCTTCCAGCAGGACCTGGCCCCTGCCCATACCGCCAGAAGCACCAAAACCTGGTTTGATGGCCATCACAGTGCTTGACTGGCCAGCCAAGACCTAAGGTCACCAGACCTAAACCCCATTGAGACTCTATGGGGTATGAAGAGGAAAATGAGGTCCGCCACACCCAAAAACATGAGCTGACAGGAAGCACCAAGGAAATCTGGGCTTCCATAACTACCAGGCAATGGCACGGGCTGATTGCATCAATGCCACGGGCTGATCGCATCAATGCCACGGTGCATCGAGGCAGTGGTTCAGGCGAAGGGATTCCCAACCAAGTATTGAAGATTGACATATCATTTTGAAAATAGCACATTTTGATTAATTTGATGTGATCCTAATTTCTCTTTTTTTTTTTCCTGCAAAAATGAGAAGTAAATGGTGATGTCTTCACAGTACTCTAATTTTTTGGAAAGGGTCTGTATGTAGAAGCAGTCTGCTTGCCTTGGTGTGTGATTTTATGCAGCTGTGCCCATGACAGTGATCCGAACACCTGGTTTGGGCGGGCCAGTCAATATAGTGTACTCGAGTACATGAAGCTAGAACTGAGCAGGATGGCTCCTCTTTAAGGGAACCATTATTGTCTGGGGTAAAAAGAGTAAAACGAGATTGCATTTATATTTTACATTAATGTAAAATATATCTTAAGTACATTTCTGCGTACAGTTACTTCCTTTTTCTGGTTAAATGTCAGCCTAACACCACTTTCTCTCACAACGTCTCAGGGACTGTCAGACTACACCAAGTGGCTCGCCCACTACTCCACCAAGCAGCAAGGCAGCCCTGCTAAACCTATTACATGCCGGTCATACGCCAGGTAAGAAAACAGACACGCAACTGCCACACTTTGGTATAAAATACTTCCCAAATCTCTGACAACTCCCAGGGTGGGACTAATGGGGAATCCCTCAGATGGCTTCAATGGAAAAACAATCGCCATGACCATCGCTAACTTCTGGGCTGAGGTTACTCTGCTGGAGACCCAGACTTTGGTAATACAAACGAACACATTCTTATAAAGTAAAACATGTCCACTCTGCTCTAAAGTATTGTGACCTTTGTAGGTTTTAGTCCCTCATCCACTCAACGACCCCACAGAATTTGGCAGCCTGCAGGATCTGTTCTGTATCAGCAGGAAGGAAGGGTGTGTATGCAGCCAGCTGACCGAGCCCTCAGGCAGGATGGAGGTGTCATAGTGAGGAAATCTTTGTCTTTATTGCTGAT